TCCAACAATATTTTTTATAAAAAAAAAAAAATATTGTGATTGATTGATTAAAATAAATTGTTGTCATCATCTTGTGAAAGGGTAACACAGAAATAGTTTTAATTTATTTATATATACATATCTTGTATGCCGTCATCATTGGCAGAACTCATTGCCAAGTATCAGGGTGCTCATCAACAGTTCCTTTTGTGTAAAATGTCCTATGTTAAGTCTTGAAGATATGTCCACAGCCCCCTCATGGTAGGGTAGGAGGGTCCGAGGGGGGGGGGTGTAGGACTCTGGCTTATTTCTGGGCTCTCTTTCTTTCTTCCATTTGTTTTCTAGTGTTTCCTAAGAATGTTGTTTCTTGTGGACTGCTCTTCTCCAATTGGTTATTTTAGACATGTGAAGAAGAAATGTCTTTGAACATGAAAGCCTTGACTGTGAATTGTTTGAGGTGGTCTATAGGTTGCCACTCCATGGCATACACATCAGCTGACACCATCCACTGCGGCAAACCAGGCCTTGAGAGGTTCATGATGACAGCTTGCATCAGGCTGCTAACTTGATCTCGTACATAGAACTTCATCTTGATCACCTCCCCTCCAGTCGTTGGATCATGTTTAGTCTAGTCTCTTCCCTGAATCCTTACCATCATGAGTGACCCTACCAGAAAACTAAGCTACCGATGACATTGCATTCAGGTTCCTTGTAACACACAAGTGCTTTCACTATGATACACAATATGCATTATTATTAAAATATGTAATGTATATACATTATGTGTTTTTGAAGTTCAAAAAACATTTTTCTTATATGTATTCATCTTCTAATAACAAATTTAGAAGAAAAAAAACATTGTTTCACCTGTTGTATTATACCTATTTACCTTTTATCATATATTTTATACTGCCCTGTTGGCTGGATTTGTAGAATATGCTGACTGCATTTCTGCAGAAGGGTAACATTAAATAACTCACAAAGAATTGATGTCATAAAACAAAACTCAAATCAATCAATCAGCATATACTTTATATCTTTTTCAATATCTTTTTATAGTATTATAACACTTTTTTTTTTTTTTTTTGCTGAGGACCAGTTTTATTCCCTCTCAAGATCTGAATGTTAATCTTTCGTCACTGAAATTGTAAATAGGTTTAAATGTTACTTCTTATATGCATGTAAGCACACATCTGTTATTTTGTGTGTGTTGCTGTAAACAAATTTTTCTGATGGATAATTATGGTCAAGACATACTAGGATATTGTTCTGTGCTTTGAAGTTAAGATGTTTTCTGGAAAACACACTTTGAATTCACCTTATGACATCTTCAGTCATTCAAAATGTAAAATTTAATTTTCCAAAAGAAATTTTGGTACTACATGAACCATGTAGATGCTTGTCCTTTTGAAAGCCAAATTTGGTCAATGTGTTGCCCTCCCCCTTTACTATTTCAACACTGGATAAAAAAAAAAAAATTATTTATCTTTCCAAGATAAATCTGCTTAAATAAATAACTTGTACGAATTGACCTTTTGCTTAAAATCTTGTTTGGTAATTTATTTTATTGGATATAACTGTCCACTGGCCCCAGGGGAGTAAGCATTCTTGGTTTACTGTCTGCTGCTTAAATCTGATGGGAATCAGATGTGCCTCTATTTTTTTTCTATTCAAACTCCTCCATTTTCATATATATATATATATATATATGTATATATGGTTGTCATGTCAGTTTAGTATGATTATACAAATAGTGTTCATTGTGATATGTTAAAAGGATGAAAAGTCTTAAATTTAATCTACTCTTAATATGAACAGTATTTTCTTCCTAGATGGTACTAATAGCTTTTTAAGCTACATGTTATTCTAAGATTAATATCTTACATATTTCCATAAACATTATTTTCAAAAATTTATAAATTTTCTTAATATTATAAGATTTTTTTTCATTTGGAATTTCGAATAAAAAATGTACTCTAATATAATGTAAAATTTTGTTCTATTTATTAAGTAAAACTAAAATAGATATCACAGATAAGATTTATTGAACAAATCTATCAGAACTTCCATCCTCTTTCATGTTTACATATATAAGTCACACAGTATATTCTAAGTTCTTTATTCCAATTTGTTGCTACTACAATTTATATAAGTTCCACTTCATCCATTGTAGCACAAATAGAAGTAAAAATTCAGAAATAATTTTGATATAAAATATTTTTGGGAAAACTTTTATTTGTTTTTAAATCAACTGTTCTTTAAAATAATTCATCAATTTTAATAAATAAAATGCAAATAATATAGATCAAAAATAAAAGTAGACATATTTCTGAAGAAGCAAATAAGTCAATAAACAGAGGAAAACTCTATAAGCATTAACGCTTTCACTACTGTATTGTTGCCTGGCTGTGCTGGCCCATTTTGGGGAAAAATAGGAAAAAGTGTTGTCTATTTGCTGAGAATTTAGATGCTAATGGAGATTTCTCATAGGCATCACATTTTACTTTTGATCAGATACTCTGCAGTACAGACTAATTTAAATGGCAACCCCAACACACAGTATAATAAAAAAATATATCTTCAAAACAAATTGTATTGTATGCTATATGTCTATGCTAGTTTTGAAACAGCACTAAGTGTTAGCATGTTTTTTAAAATAAACACAAAGGACCAACATTTCACCGTGTTTTTTATATATATATAAGTATGTTTATAACAGCGGAAGTGTTAAAGTTCATTTGAGAATTGACTCATATGTTGACCCCTTTTGCCTACTGAATATGACTCATAACAGGTGTATGTGATCAGTTCTTGCATAAAATCTACCTTGTTACCCAACAGCTGTTTCAAGTTGTTCTTGTCATTCAGAATTGCCTATCAGTATTTTGGAAGGTGAAAGAAAAAGTGTATTAGGCAATAATCTGAACGGAATTAAATAAAAAAAAAAAAAAAAAAAAGCAAAAAGAGGAAGAAGATTTTGTCTGAAAGTTAGACTTATTGCATGAATTTTTCCTATTACCTAAGGAGAATAACTTTAGAAAATAATATTCATTTTAAGCCCTGCCTTAATAAAAAGAATCCTAATCTGACTGTACACATCTATTGTTCAACCAACAGCAAAATCTATGCTAGGGAAACCTGAAATACTAGCAATATCTGTAGACATTTTTCCATAAACATTGCTTGAGGACCATTACAACAGGAACCAGCCGTCCCACATACACAAGTGTGAATCATCCCCATTCCCTTCATATTCCTATAGTAAGAAGCAAATTCTATTCAGACAGCTTCTTCCCAAGAACTACTGCTTTGTGAAAAACAGTCTCCTGGCAAGATATTTTCCTAATCCCTACAATCTTAACCTCTTCAAGTCTTGGCTTAACCATTATCTTTTCTTTTCATATTCCTCTAGTAAGAGGTAAATTCCATTTGGATATCTTCTTCACAATAACTGTTGTTTTCTTGAACACACTTCTGGCATGATGTTTTCCCAATCACTACAATCTTGAACTCTTCAAGTCTGGGGTTAGCAGTTATCTTTCCTTCATAGCCCCATGAACTTCACTTATTGCCTTTTACACTCGTACAACACCAAACAGTAACCCTCTACCTTTAGTGACTCTTGGGCCTTGTATTGAGTGGACATTAGTATACATTAAAATGTTATGAATGAGGAAGTCCTGGAGAGAACAGATTTATATAACCTGCAAGTCATGGTCATCATAAGATGTCAGAAGTTACTTGGTCACAGTACTATGAATTCCCATAGAGAGATCAACCAGAGTGCTCTTGAAATGGAAGCCAGAAAAGGGACACTGAAAAAAAGGCAGACCTGTCAGAATATAGTGAAAAGTATAATAGAGATGGGCCTAACCTGGAATCAAGCTTGTAACAGAGCACAAGATTGGATTGGATATAAAACACCCAATGCTCCCAACAGAATAGGAGGAACTAATACTAATACAAGTTGTTCTAATAACAATTATGAGATGTTTATAAGGGAAAGAGTTTCTATTTTTTATGTATTCATAAATATGTGATTATATATATTGTTATATACACTGATGTGCCAAAAATCATGGATTAGATGCTTAGTATTGTATAGAAGTATACTACCATCTTTTGTGGATATAACAGTATATGTGTGCACTTTCAAGATTCCCAATGATCAGAGCCTGGCAACTTATCTCTCTTCTGATCTAACTCAGTAGGAGAAAAAAAACTAGCTGGTCGCATTCAATGACACAAAAACCAAACTAGTGACATCCCATTATTATCGAGTGGACCCTGAATTTTTCTCTATCGTGATGAGTGACTGTTTTCTCAGGGAGTCTTTATGCCTTCGGACTTAAGCTCAACCCAGATCTCAATTGGAACTTGTATATATGATTCATGTCTATAAATTTGGGGAGGAGGATGTTTTTGCAGTCATTCCTACACAAATTGGAACCATTAGAAACAATTGGTGATGAGTAGTCAAACACCATTTTAGTACCCAGCTATTTAGTGAAATTTTAGAACAAAACTGACATCACCAGCTGACTATAGGTCTGCTACCTTATTTAGTACCTCCCCTGAGTATGAGTTTCTTTGCTTACAGGGGTTGTCTCAAGTACACCAGCTGCAAGTATAGTGTTCTCTAAGTCATCAAATTAATTTTGCTTATTTTTCTAACAATCCAGAAAAAATACCTGCTAATTATGTTATTTTTTTATTTTTATTTTCAGCATATATATAACCAATTAAAAATACAGGTAATGTTTCACTAAAATAGCCCTAAAATCAAAATTTCCAGACAGGTTTGGTATCATGAAATTTTTTCAAAAGTACTCTGATATTCATGACATCTTGGATTTTGGTACTAGCTCCATCCTGACTAGCTTGACAAAAAACTATGTTGAAATCAAGTTTAGTGAATGAAAAATCCAGAAAGTATCGTATTTTAATTTCTTCATATTCCTTCTGTTATGAAGTCAGTAAGGAACCACTTCTTCAGTATTGCTTTTAAAAATCTTTGGTTTATGGCCATATCATGTTGAAATACTGGTTCTTGTCCAACCACTGAAGTTAAGCAATGTTGAGTCTGGTCATTACCTAAATGGGTGACTGCTTGGGAATACCAGGTGCTGTAAGCTTGGATGTGCAGGTAGTGTAATGGAAAACAGCTTGGAATTGGAAATCAGAAAAAAGAATTTCAATTTCAGTTGGGATTGTTATATTCATTTATGTACAAATATCCTTGGGAAAGATAAGAATCCGCCTATTCTCCCTCAGTTATAGGTTAAATAGTAGGGCTTGCATCAGTAAATCACTATAATCTCCAAAACATTCTTACAGTGCAAAAATATTTTTTGTCTTTAAATAATGGTTGATAAGCCATAAAAAACGAATCAATTGTAGAAATTTTTAGCTTAAGTCTAGCGGGTTGGATTAACAACACAAGAAAGCATGTCACTAAAAAGAGACAAACTATTTAGTTTGGTTTATTAACACTTTATTTAATGGAGACTTCTATGTTAAACAAAAATCCAGTTTTATAAAAAGAGCGTCTGGATATGAAAATACTATGTTTGTGGGAGTGGGGAGTCAGCATGCAGTGCATAAAACAAATAAAGTAGATAAAAATAATTTGAAGAAAAAGATTGATAAGATAAGCAATAGGTTTGTCAAAGGAAGTCTTTTTTTTTTTCTTTTTTTTTTTTTTAAAAGAAGCTGAAGTGGCAAGGTGGTGAGAGCACCTGATTTCCAAGAGTAGTTCTGTGGTTTGGGTTCAGTAGACAGGAAAAGTGGTCTCATTGAAGCGAAGCGTTCACTAGTATATGAAGAATCTTTCAAGATGAGTCCTTGTAGCAATAGTCATTTGTATTGGAAGATTTTTTTATTTTTTTTTATTTTTTTTTTTTTTTTAATAATGTTTCATACCAACAATGCTTGGAACATTATGCTTGAGATTCTCAGCATATAGCAGTAATTGTTTTTTAACAAACTTAATTCAATAAATTGTAACTGTGTTGTTTTTTCTTATTTTTTTTTTTAGTTAATATTCTGACATCAGGAAGCTTGTGAATCTACTAGAATTAACAATAGCATAGGTTATGGATTATATAGCAATCTAATGTCCAGAGATCAGGAAAAAAAAAACACACTTCATGCCATCCATTTCCAAGGAATATTAATATGAAATAATAAGAGTTATCGGCCATTATAATTGAAGCCATGATTTTTTTTTTTTCTTTTTCTCTCCAATTATTCTATTTTAGCGTGTGGTCGGTAAGCAGAGGGGCTTGCATTTTTATTTGAGAGCAATGATCTGTATATGCACTTTTTTTTATTTAAGTATGTCATATTTTGCCTATACTTTCAATTAGGGGTTAAATGCCATTGTTTTAGAAGCACTCCCTGTTTCTTTTGTTTTCTATTATCTTTTTGTTTTTGTTTAAATATCTGTTTTCAGTTTGACTTGTTGAGTCATTTCAAAGTGTGCTAATTGTGAATTCAATTTCCTTCTTTAAAAAAAAAAAAGTACTACAAAATAAATTTTAAAGCAAAATTAAAAAAAAAAAAACAAATATAAAACTACACTTTATATTTGTGCATATTTTGAAACTTGTAAATTCAAAATAGAAAAGATAGATTTTCTTCCAATGCCAACAGAAGGCAGTAGTCATTGTCTTAACTACATTGTATCACATAATAGACATATTCATTTGTTGAGAGTCTTATTGTACAGAAGCAGACATTTTCATAATAAAAACAGGTAGGGAAAAAAAATCTGATTTTCATATTCCATAGTCCTGGGTATGACAATAAACTACATTTAGCAGCAAGGTCTCTAATCAGATGACCTGATGTGGTAGCACCTGTGAGATACCCAGCTATGTAGAAATAGCAAACCCCCAAGTAAAACACTATGAAAGTATAAAAATACATTTTTATAGTAAAAATACCAGTAATACAATACATTTTTATATATAAAAAAAAAAAAGTTACCAATATTATATATTTATAATAAGATGATCAACAATACATTTTATCTGGAGCTGGAGGGATACAATCATGTTCAAAATATTTGCATTTTGGCATTAAATAACCCATAGAGGTGTTGATATGCCGCAAAACAAAATCAACCAAACAACCAACATGAAAGAACTCTTTCATGGCATTAATCCATATAATATCCTACAATTTCTTAAATAAATCTATTCCAAAATATAAAAGTATAACTTCCAAATATTCCAAAATATAACAAAACTAGAGCATAAAACACACACCTCACTACCTGTAGTAATTGTGTCTACACAAACATATATATGGACAAAAGCTGAGTATCATCTACCATGTATTCAATTGTGAAAGCAGAATAACATATTTTTTATTACTTCAAAACTTCTAAGAAAATTAAACTTCAGCATTAAATGACTAATAAAGAGTTTATATGCCCTTAAGCAAACAAATCAATTGGTCATGTTCCATAGTCCACTGAAACACTGCTGAAGTTTTTATTTATTTTTGTTTAACCCATGAATAAAAACTTTTTTTTATTAGTTTTCAAGTTTTATTTTCTAATATATACAGCCGTAAGTTTGTGAGTCTACTTGAAATTCTGAATGATTAATTAAAGCAAGTTGTCTGTCATGCATTTGTTTAAATATTATGTAAAACAATGACAAAAAAATAATAGCAGCAGTAGCACCATATTTCCTGCCAAAATTGATAGGCCTTTATATGAACTGGCAATTTTACTTTGGGTCACAGTGTATTTACATTGGCCTTCAGGCTGGGACCCGTGTTTAGCATCTGTTTACCATTTTACCATGTGTGTGTGTGTGCGTGTGTGTGTTTTTTTTGTTTTTTGTATTTTTTTGCTAGCTAGCTAGTTCATGAAATAGCTTTGAGTGTTGCCAAGGATTCCAACCCTGTGGGAGCACCATCCTCATTGCACTAAACAGGGAAGATTGGTAGAATACAAACATTAACATGATAGGGGTTAGGTAGTTTTTGCCTTTGGCCCATATATACATGTATGGGCACCCGCATATTTAAAAACGACCTCCTGTCACATCCTACTCTTATGGGGAAATGAGTAAATATCAAGCATTGGGCTGAGATTGGGGAGTAGTATCTGTCCCAGGGATTCTAAGCTTGTAGCAGTGCCTTCCTCATTACACTAAAGAGAAAGGTTTAGTGAATGCCAATGGTCTCAGCGACCAAGTAATTTTTGTTCTAGACCACATGTATGTGTATGGGCTCCCCACATTAAACTGATCTTGTTGTGCATCCTACCACCATAGTAAGGAAAATAAATACTAAGTGCATTTTCCCTAACCCTTGGGCTGTGATGAAAACTTGGTGTCTGTTATCTCTTCCTCTTATGAATTATGAGTTGGGAATTCCAACAGAACCTTCCTCATTACACTAAAGAGGAACGTCTCGCAGATACTGATGTCAATGTGACAGTGTTTGTACTTTGTTTATATGTATGCAGTGGTACAGGTAAGTACTGTGACAAAAAATAAATGCATGCAGTTTTATCATATTTAACAGCAAGTGTCTTGAATCTTGACCAACTTTGTAGTTTTTGCTTAATTTGCATATTCAGCTTTAAAAATGAAATTCATTTCAATTTGGTCTTTTATGATCTTTTATAAATAAACAGTTGTTTTGGTGATGGATTTTATAATTAAATTGTTAACTTACTCAGTAATGGTTACTATTTTATGTTCTGAATGTGGTAACCACCTTAGCATTTAGATCACGGTTTAGGAATAAGGACAGTTATTGTAAATTCTTATAACATGATGTATATGAAATAGATGACTACCAATTATGAAAACTTCATGACTATCAATTTATGGCATCAGCAAATCTCTCAAGATTGGCTGTAGTTGAGCAAAAGGGTTGGACTTGGCCCATGCAATGTTTGGTACCATTGCTAGTAAAATAATTATTTATACAGGGTGCAGCAGAAACACCTTCATCATTTTAAAGGTTGACAAAATGACCAATGTCACTGCTATTAAAAAATATATTTCACTGTTGCTTAAACAAAGGGCTACAGTTTTTATTCATTTGGTTTTTAAAATGACATCCTCAAAATTTTATTTACCATACATTGTTGTAGATGATTTTTAAAGTTTTCCCTCAACCCGTACATTTTCTGCAGTTTCAGCACTTCAAGCTAACTTACTTTATATGTTGAACCTGAGGCCCTGAAATTTTCAACCCATATCAATTTTGACAAGTGACATGAAATGAGCATGAAAAACTCTGTGTTGCAATTACAGATTTGCTAGTCTTAAAAACATTTCAACATCAAACACATGGTGTGCACTGGTCCAAGCCATGATGATGACTGATGGTATCTGAAAAAAAAAGAAAATGGTAAAACATTAGTTAGCTGAAGACACCATAGCCACTTACCTAAGTTCTCTAGTATAACATAAGTTACAGTTGAAAATGTGGGAGGTATTTCTGCTGCACACTATTTTTATATCATCATTATGATTAATTATGAATAAGAAAAATTTTCTCTCATAGATAAGGTGATGACATAGAAGATGACATTGTTAACATTTTACTCTGTTTTCATAACTGAGAAAAATTTAGTCCTTTATTAACCTTTGTAAAATGTACACTATAGGTCAAAAGTTTGGGGTCACCCTCTCGATTGATTAATAAGTTTCATACCATCTTTGGTTTAATTTACTCCTACTAAACGAAGTTGATGAAAACTATTTAACCCATTAGTGCATAGCATCCATAGTTTTTTTATTTTTTTTTTTTAGTGAAGGAGTTGCCTAAAATTTAAAATCTGCCAACTCCAATATTATCATTAGATAGCAAGATAGATTAGGCAAAAAGAGTTAAGATTTTAAGGAAATTTTATTCAGTGTGTGTGTGTGTGTATGTATATAATATATGTGTGTATATATATATATATATATATATAATGTCTTAAGATGTACTATATTTATGGGATAAAGTGCTCAATATCAGAGATAGAGCGTGTGTAAATATAAAAGTGAACATAGAAGTCAACACTTAGAGCCAACAGTCTGTTTCATGCTGGATGCAATTGTCAGGACGATTGCATCCAGCAATGTTGATGTTTCTATGTTGTGTGTGTGTGTGTGTATATATATATATATATATATATATATATATATATATATATATATATATAAAAAAATCACCCTAAGCGAAGAAGTAAAGCTACTAAAAAACAAGGGTTTATTGTTGGGCGTGAAAGAATTAGGAAACAGAAGCATTATTGTAGAGCAAGAACAGCAGAAGAGTAAACAGGAAGACAGTAGATAGTGATTGACATTGCATTTAAATTTTTGAAGATCAATGAGTTAATTTCATTTAGTGTTGTTGTTGTTTTTGAGTATATGATAAATGTGAAACCCTTTTTAAGAAAGAAAAAAAAAAACACTCCGGCCTAAAATGTGTTAGTAAATTTAAAAAAAGGTGCACAATCTTCAATTTTTTGGTGATTCTTTGAAATCTAGAGGGTGTCCCTCAAACTTTTGACCTACAGCGTATATTCTAAATGTAAAATCACAGAAAACCACCGCCTTTTTTCGGTTCTAAAGCAGCTAATTTTACAACCCATTAATTACTATTCATTAAATGTAATTAGCAAATTTAATGGGCATAACCAATACTTCAGTTAAAAAGAAAAAAAAAAAAACAAATAAATAAAGAAAAGAAAACGTTCCAAGAATGGAATTCTGATTGATAGAAATGGAATCTCTTCTGTCAAAGTGTGGGCTATGTGATATGGCAGACAACAGCCTGGAAGTGTGGAGTTTTATCTCAAATAAATAATTATTTATGTTTATTGATAGTTATCTAGCTTTGTTTAATATGGCACAAAGCCAAAATAATTGATATTTATAACAAGAAAATTTAGATAGAAAAAAATCTTAGTTTAAAGCAGCAAAAATAGGGTGTCTACCATAATACAATTGAAGAGCATGTCTTATAATAATAATATTAACCGCTTCTCTACAAGAAAACATTTCGCATTCATTGACCAAGCAGCCAGTACTGCTTTCAGTTGATATTTGTGAAATCTTTCTCTTAAAACACTTTTTTAGGAAAACTGGTTTCTCAAGTCTAGTAGCTTTTATCGCACATTCCAGTGTTGATGGGGGATTTCTTTCCGAACCTTCTATTTGATGTGGTGTGCAATGTTAACATCTTGATTATATCATTTTCTCATTAAGTTATGTGCTATCCATTTTAGTTGTTGCTGTTGTTGGTAGTCCTCAAGTGATGTGGTATCTGTTATTTGGTACAGTTCTTTGTGATTCTGTAGCACCATTCCACTATGACCAAAGAGGGATGATCTTTGCCAAGACCCTAAGGCTTTACTTGCTCAAAGCATTTTTTTACCATTAATCTTAGCTGACAATTTAGATATTTCTTAACACGTTTGGTGTCATAAACTGCTTTGCAATTGTGAGTTTGACCCTAGCTACTCTACACTTGTGGCCATGGGCCAGATATAGCTAAACTTTATATATAAATATATATTAGGGTAAATGTTATCAGTTTTATACTTGTAAAATCCTTAATTTAAATTAATTAAATTAAATCCTTAAATTGCAGGGTTCCAGACTGATATCTTTTCAACATTGTTCTGAAAAATGTTTTTTTAAACTGTCTCAAAATCAAAATGTTTTTTGTCAGTAGATTAATAAAAACACCATTAAAATGTTTAAGAAATAAACTTAAAAGCAGTTCAAGTATTAAAGTTTTAAAAATAAATAAATATACAACGTAGCTAAATTCTACTGTAAATATTTTAAAAAATCACATTTTTATTTAAACATTTGTTAAATCATCTTGAATAATTTTTTTGTTTTATGTATATTATGTGCATGCATGTTCCATTTATTAAGAGTCAACCTCTGTTGGTGAGCATTACAAATAATTTTTTATTTTTTTTAAGAAATTAGCTGCTTTTAGAATAGATGTAAGAGTATTTTAATTAAAAGTTTTGCATCATCCCAGCATCATTCCTAAAGACATAATTAGTCATCCCAAGTTAATGTTATATCATCCTCAGGACCTTATTGGCTTACGACCGCATCACATTGAAACACCAGTTCCCATACAATCACCGGTTAAGCAATGTCAAGCCTGGTCAGTACTTAGATGGGTGACTGCTTGGGAATACCGGGTGCTTTAAGCTTGGATGTGTGGGTGGTATCATGGTTAGTGGCTTGGAATTGTTAATCGGAGAGGCAAGTTCCAATTCCAGTTGGGTTCATTATATTCATTTACTTACAAATACCTCTGGGAACGAGATGAATCCATTTCCTTTTCTCCTGGCAGCTATGGGTTAATTAGTAAAACTTGTATCACTCAGCCATTACTATCCCATAAAAATAAAATTGTGTGAAAAATACTTAGATTTTGGTATTAAATAGCCCATAGAAGTTGATATGTTGCTAAATAAAAAACAGTCAAAAAATTGGGACCATGTTAAAAACTACTGGATATAAAAGGGGTAATTATCCACTTTCCCAAATCTGGACAAATTTTCAAATTTTCTTTCTGGAAGGGCTTCTTGGTTAGGCCAAGAACTCTTCAGCAGTTCTTCATATGGAGCCATGAAAAGTAGTCCAACTTTTAATAAAAAGTTGAAGAAAATTAAATGTATAACTAACAAAAGTCTATTTTACAAGCATTTTTATTATTGTGAACAGATTAAAAATTATATATACGACTTGTTTATAATATAGACCTAAACTTTTTCATGTAGAGCCCCTTAAATTTAGTATGCATACTTACTGGACTCAGGAAGGTTTTAATTTAATTTTATTTATTTTTTTATTTTTTTTGTTTTTTTATAGAGAAAGTTGGTATGTATTTTTTTTTTCTTTTATAAGGATTTATTTTTCAGAGTAACAATCACCATTTGGAGTTGTTTGGAATTACAACAGTTCATATTTTTAATATCTTGAAAACTAAAGGTCATGGAAATATGCTGGCACTTTCATTAATTGAAAGGAAAGAATTTTAAACATCTACAATATCATTGATAACTGCACACTAATAATGTCCTTTTTCCAATTCATAATAGTATATCATTAATGACATGAGTACAGTTTTAAACTTGCTGTAAATAAAAACAAAGTACAGATTAGTCAGGAATCAATTTTGACACTGTATTTATGTTGTCGTCCTTTTAAAATGATAAAAATATATTTTTCAATTCTGGCAGATGTCATGGCTTGAGAAAAATCTAATAAATGCTAATCTACAAAGTTTTTAAAATAAATTCTATCCTTTTTTTTTTCTTTTTTACAAGTGAACTGGTTAATTTAAGTAGTGCTAATTTTGAATTTATCATCTGTGGATCACTACCACTCAAAACAGGGTTTATCCTTTTATCTTATCAAAGTTGAAGTCTTGAAGGAATATTATTGAAGTTTCCACAAGTAGCTCAACATTCAGTGCCTCCAAAACCAAGCTAGTAACATTTCATCGCCATCAAACACTAAATTTACTCCAGTTCTGATGAATGGTAGTATTATCAATGAGGCTCTTTGCCTTAAATGTCTATTAGGATTCAAGCTTACTTCACACCACAAATAGAACTTATACGTTCAATCCATCACTAATGATGCTGAAAAAAAAAACATTTGGTTTCTGATACTGCTCCAGAAAGTAAATGACCCCTGCTGACATGCTTTATCTTTGCAAGAACCTGATCAGAACCTTGACAGAGTTTAAGAGCATTTACATGTCCTTGTGGGTGATGAATTACTTTCCACTCGGTAACCCCTTTCCTATAGAAGAAATGCTGTTAGTCTGCCACTACTCCATTGCAATTTTCATGACAAATGTTCAGACAAGCTACACTCCTTAGTTCCACTAGTTTAGACTAAAAGTCTAAACTAGCTAGGATCAGCTAAACATCCTTAGTCTCTTTGTATTCCAAGAAAGAAGTTCCACTCAGGCTATTTCTTCCCCAGAGTTGTTACTTTGTGGAACAGACTCCCAAAAGGATGCTTACCCAATCACTACAATCTCAACCTCCAAGTCTTAGATCAACCATTATATATCCTACATATTGACTCAAAAATGCACTTCTTACTTCCTACATTTATGCCCTTACCACAACCTCAATCAGTAACCCTCTACCTTGAGTAGCTCTTGGGACTTGTATTGGGTGACTAATAGTATAAAGGGTGGGGTGCAACTCTTACATTTTGAATTGTCATTAAGAGTTGAAGTTTTACCAAAACTAAATCAATTTAAGCAGTGCCAGATTTTTTTTTTTCTTCAAAAATTTAACTCTCTTCACCAAAATCAAATTCCAATACGTGAATTCCTACTACTCAGGTTAGATTCCTTTGTCTTATCAAGGCTGAAGCCTATCATAATTCTCAATGTTTTCACAAGCCAGATCTTACACTTTGAATTACCATTGAGAATTGAAGTCTTACTAAAATTGATTCTTATTCTTTTCAAGAATGACTGCCAGGTTTTCTTAATGATAACATTGCCATTACCCTTGGCTTGTTGGTATTTCTGATTGCAATTTGAACAATAATTACTTAATTTATTTTCTATTTCACTAATTATCTCATTAACATATCCCAAAAAATATAGAAAAACTTATCTACAAGCATATAACTAAAACCTATAATAAGCATTAAACCAATGACTGTTTTTTTAATAATGTCCTCCTCCACCTCTTGTACTTTCTCAGAAGAAGGGGTGGAAAGCAAATTTAGCAGCTGGTGCTTTTTGACAATGCAAATTATGTTAGCTTAGTTTCTATTTGCTGGTGGTTAATAAACTCAATAGAGCTGAAGTTGGTTAGGATGTAAGTATTTCCACAGGTGTTTGGATTTTGTCATGGCATTGGTTGGTTCTTTTTTTTTTTTTTTTCCTTTTCTCTTAAGTCTCCGCCTTCTTCTCAGTCTCCCTCTTTATCCTTTCTTTTTACTGTCCACCCACCATGTGGATCATACCCTTTTAGTCAGGTTTCTTACAACAAATGCTTCTCTCATTCTCAAAGCTAGAGTCTAAAACTATTGTCAGGATTTTCTCTCATTCACAGTCGGTAAGTGTTGTTTTCATTTGGGATTTGGGCCACTGATAATTTTTGTGTGTGCATTTAAAAAAAAAAAACAGAATTTACTTAAATATATTATATCTATAAAAATAATGTATAAACAGAAAATATATATATTTTCTGTTTATACATTTTTATAGATATAATTTAAGTAAATGCTCTTTTTTTTTTTTTTTTTTTTTTTTTTTTAAATTAAACAGTATTAATTACATTTACCGGCCTGAATGTTTGAGAAATTTCATAGAAAATATGTGCTTCTCCAACAGGAATCTAACCTGTAACCCTAATGGGAACCATCATTTGATCTGATGTGCTGTTAACCACTCAGCCACAAAGAAGCATCTAGTTATCAAAGTCCAAATTATAAACAAAAAATATATTAAAAATAATTGTCAAACTTAATCCATTTCATAATATGTTGTCATTGTTTATGTTAAGATATGTTTTGTGAGCAGATATGATTGATCAAGAAAAATCGTCAAAGGTGTATGTTTATAAACAGTAATTTGGACTTTGCTAACCAGAGGCTTTTTTGTTTCTGAAAAAAAAAAAAAAAAATATTTTATATAGTGGAAGTTATGCATGGATCCTACTTCATTTTTCATAGGTTTTTGCCACATATTATTTAGCCACTGGACCATCAATATATGGTGTTTTTTGGCCAGGGTTAGCCTTTTTGTCTTCTTCCTCTTTTTATTTGAGCACAAAAGAGATTGAAAGGTAGAAAAAGAGATAAGGATTTTAAGGAAAACAAATGCTTTGTTTTAATTTGAATTCTTTTCTATTTGTTTGTACATTTTTATTTCTATATTTTATTTTATTAGACTCTCCACAATTCCAAATTAAAATGAAAATACACCCATGAGATAAAGGGAATTTACCATCATCGTACACCTCTTCAAGGAGAATTCTTTCATCAGGGGTTTATGAAAATTATATTCTTCCTTGCTTTGATAGTTTTCTTTTTTTCTTGTATTTCTTTGTGTTTTGTTAAAAGAAAACCCTGTAAAAAATGCTACAATTAGTAAAAATTTTGGGCAGAGCATAGAACCCCCACACCACCTCTCGGCTGCTACAGCCACACAGTAGTAACATTGTACTCAGCAGAAACTGGTGCATGGTCACTCTTGTGAAATGATAAAAGATTATAAAAAAAAAAAAATTTCTTTTTCATAAAAGTATGGTTAACCTAGCACATTTTTTCTTAAAGATTTTTACAATATCATAAGTAGGAAATTATATATCAATAATAGAAGTAATATAATTATCTTTTTATAATTGCAGTAAAAATAGATATATTAAATGTAAAATGGAAACTAATAGCAAGGAGAAAGAAAAATATATAATTTTTGTAAAGAGGGAAATCAAAAAAAAAAAGAAAAAAAAGAAAATGCTCTCTGGTTATTGTTCCTCAATCTTCAGAGCTCTATTGAGGAATAAGAAAGGTGTGTACAGTGATTAAAATTGTGGGAGAATCCAAGACAATTTATTTTATACATAAAATCCCAAACAACATTTACTCTATGAAAGTTTACTTTGCATTTTGTGCTTTCAGAAGCCAGATTAACTACTATCCCAGCAATTCTGCCAATTAAGTTGCAAGAGTTTGTTGGTTGGTTGTTTAGTGGCATATCAACCTCAATGGGCTATGTTGAAAATCTGAATATTTTGAATTCAATTGTATGTCTTCAACTACAGATAAAATGTATTGTTGGTCATTTTGCTATAAAATGTATTGTTGGTAATTCTATTATAAACTAGCCTAGAAGATGCCCTTTAGGCAGACTTTAAGCTAACTCCTATGGAAGGCTTCAGCATTTTATGTATGTAAAAGTTATAAAAATCTGGAAATAATAAAATTATTTTATCTTTATTTGACACCTTAATTTGACATAATCTTCATTCATATACACAAATGATCTTCGTAGTTTCTTTATATTTATTTTGTGCACAATTTTTCTTTTCTTTTTAAAGTAACCATTCTTTATGATCACTTCATATAAAGTCACTCTTAAAAGACATTAGGGAATCTGAACTATGTAATATTTTGAATGCATCACAGTATGCATGTTAGAAAAAAAACATGAGCAATGTA